GACGCGAAGACACCATTAGTGACGGACACAGTATAGTGACCTGCAATGAGAGGGGAAGTCCGCGTCGGTGCGGAGGACAGGGAGACCTGTTGTCGGGCTCTATGGGTGTCTTCTCCTATTGGAGTCATAAGGCATTCGCGACTCAGAGTTCTTCTGCGGATCTGAGTCTACAGAAGTTGAGTCCAACACTTGTGGCCGCTTTGGGCGCATCAATGCTGACCCGACGGTGCGCTCGACTGGCGTTTGCGAAGTGGAGCCGAAGTACCACTACAACCGACTTAATCGCTGAGATTAAGACCGCATTCACTTCATTATATCCGGTCGACTGATATAACAAATCCACTTCCAATGCAATCATTTGATGTGATTTGATATCAATGTTTTATAATTTGTTTTAATATTACTAAATAAAAATTAATATATATTTTACCAATTTATAATAAATTGATTTTCACTTAAATATTATAACTAATTTGCATTTTATTTTATCTTAATTACAATCAAATCTATAAATTATTTACAAATAAATTCTGAACCAAAAAAGAGTCAATTTTTTACCAATTTATAATAAATTGATTTTCACTTAAATATTATAACTAATTTGCATTTTATTTTATCTTAATTACAATCAAATCTATAAATTATTTACAAATAAATTCTGAACCAAAAAAGAGTCAATTTTTAAGTCAATTACTGAGAAAAATGATTGATTAAGAATATTCTCCAATATAATTATTATATCGTAATTATATTCATACGTAAAGTGTTGTATTTGATAGCTCTTACAGTACTCTGTATATTACAGTCACTATAATTAACTTATGTTTGACTAAAATCAACCTTTTTTGTAATTCAATTCAATTATGCTTTTCATTTGACGGACTTTTTAATGTGAGTCACAAAACAAAGTCTCAATTACTTTGATATTCTTTATGGTGTTTTAATTCACTTATTAAACACAATCGTCACAAATTCATATGAAAATTATTGCTATTAAATAAATAACTAAAAATAATTGCTATAAAATCTGTAACAAAACTTTTATCCATGACTTCGAATGAGTATTTCGACAACATATTCAACTAAATTGTGATAAACTTTCAAAAATGTAAACAAAATGTAATGAAAAGCTATAAACAAAAGAATTGTTCACTACAAATACAAAATCATATAATTATGGTTTCGTTGCAATTCTTGGAGACGTTGTAACCATTACTGGTATTAATGGATTCCATACTCGAGGAAGACTCGGATCTTTGTCTGTTGTATATGGGGTTCGAGTAGTGATAGTCTTCGTTATTGAGAACTGCGTTATTGGTTTGCGTTTCGTCGTCGATGTACTGGACATATGCCCGCCTATTGCGGCAATGATGGCACTTCTGGTACTTCTTATGCCTTCTCTCTTTATCCCTTTCCTCTAAAACCTTTGCCATTATAGCTGCCGACACATAATCGGGACAAACATTGTTATCGTTTTGAGCATTCGCTCCGTTAGTGACTGGAAGCGACTCTTCGTTTATGGAGTACACCATAGCTGTCGGCGGGAATGTGGGGATCGGCACTCGTATGATACGGGCGCCGTTACTTGGATTCGAGTTGTTAGGCATATCAAGAGCGGTATTGCATGGAGTGCTTCGTGTCCTCCTGTGGTTCATCTGAAGCTTAACCCTCTCCTGAAGGTCTGTGGGAAGCTGTGAATGCAATCATTGTTTTAATATCACAAATGATAGCTTACTTCTCGACAAGTCTTACTGTATTAATCTTATGGGAAACAAAGTTCGTTGGTTTGCATTGCAATAACTGAACGGCAATATTGCAGTCATTCTTGTATTGATCGCTCTCTTCCTCCAACTCAGCCATCGAAACCCTGGCGTCGACTAACCTATTGGTGAGTTCCGAGACATCCTGAGTGAGCGCCGACTTCTCGTTCTCGAATTTGTCGGCAATTCTCAACAGCTTATCCTCTAATCCTTGGTTCACTTTTTGCAGTTTTCTGTGGCCTTCGAGTAAACTAAAAAAATAATTGTAACACAAAATGACTTTTTAAAATCAAGTGAATCGAGACGGCCGTGAGTGGAGCGGACATACCGTTCATACTTGTCCTGCCAGAAGAGTAGGCTCTCCTGCATGGCATTCATCTCGCCGTTGGGGAACCGTCGGGCGTGAAGCATGATTTGGCTCTCCATAGACATGATGTGATACTCGCGTTCAGCCAATTGGCGCTTCAGATGCTCGATCTCTCGGTGCAAATGAATGCTATTATTATTGACACAACTCTCGCAACGACAGCCACATTCCTGTCAATGAGACAATCATACCATACAATCAGATATTTATCGATATATCGATTTTATTGCAATGACAATCACTTT